GAATGGAAAGGCAAAATCAAGGAGGAAAATGTTTAGAACATTTGCATAGAGATGATACTAATAAAATGTGAGTATCTTGCAAACAGAAACTGGAAATGAATGTTTCTTCTTCAGCTAAATCAGAGAATACATAAGCAACCCCTGCTTCAGCACACGTCCTTTAGATTCAATGATCACCTTAACTTGGGAGCTCCAGAAAACATCTTTCCCTATGCGCTGTGACAAGTGGGCTTTCCTTCCAGTTTATATTTTCCTGCAGAACCTACAACCATCTAAGGGTTCTATGGAATCCCAAGTCCATTTTCCTCTTTTGTCTTAGAGATCCCAAAGATTCCGTGTCTAGCGGGAAGCCTATCGTATTAAAAGAATTATTAAAAGAATAAATGTCTGCAGAATAAGGAATTAACCAAATCAAAAGGAGATAGCAGTATTTTTTCCAAACTTCAGAATCCGCATTGATCTTTCTGTTACTCCACTGCAGTGTCAAAAATAAAGGGACAAGAAAAAAAAGAGACAGACAGAGAGAAAGCAGGAATAAGAAACTGAGAGAGAACAAAGTTTTAAAAGAGGGAATAAGAGGCAAAGAAGAAAGGAAGAAATGTTGAATCTCTTCCTTATTTATGTCCCAGTTCTCACTCGCTCTATTCCAAAGAGCCACCTCACAAACATGATTTTGAACAGCTCAGATACCAAAGTGAGCATTCTGGTTTAAAGACACCAAGAAATAATGTAGGAAGATTCTGATGAATCAAATCCCCCAGACCAGTGTGCATACAGCTCTAACTCATTCAACCATTCACACTTTTACCTGCTCAGATCAGACAAATATTTCAATCATTTTCCACAGAGAAATGAAACCATGTGAATACAATAGCATAGTTAGTAAATTATTAGGAAAAAAAGTAAATCAAGAATCACCTAACAAAATGAGTGTGATCTTGAAGACATAGTCAAATTTTCTAAATTCATGTACACTGTTAATCTCTTGGGTAACTTAGAGAGCAATACATTCTTTTCAAAATTAGGCTTTATTAATATAGTAATATCAAATTATCAGTCCAGAATGCCAATTTTTCAGTTTTGTTTCTTCTCTTCGCACATTTTGAATGCAAGGCCCTCTTGTCGTAACTGATGTCACTACCTAGATTCTGAGTTACGCTGCCTTATTTAAATTAGCACACCAATCTCGGTTTTCTAGTTATAGATTTCTTCGTGAAAAGCAGAAAGTAGTACAGAAATGAAGCACGCACCTCTTGAACAAGGGGCTAAGAAAATGATCATTGTCTCATTCAGGGAGTTAGAGACTGGACACTTTCAAAAAGTCACTGTGACTTAATGAAATAGTACCTTTGTGGAGCGCTGCCACCCTTCAGAGTTGGCCAGCAAATGTGTTAGTAAGTGTTGTGTGTTAGCGTTCTGGAGTGGTTCTTTAACACTAAATTCATGACTTTAATAAGAAATCTTTGTAAACCACCAATACTTCTACAGTACGAATGTACTCTATTTTGTATATTATCTATAAGTTATTGTCAGTGTTACAAGGTTTTTACTCATGGAATTCAATCGTTTTGCAGTTTCTCCAAAATTATTATAACCCTTTATAATTTTAATAGATGAATACTTGAGTCTTTTTTATACAATTGTTAGTATGATTTTTTAGTATCATTTCTTTAAAGCAAGAACTTAAAATGCTTCTTCTAAATAAAGCCCAGAGAGGGGTAATGTATAAGAATTAGGACCCTAAGTATGACTTTAAATAGTAATAGTCAAGCTGTATAAATATTTTGAATACCAATATCATGTAATAATTGGTTTAAATAATAGTAGCATAGATATTTTAATTATTTTTCATAGCCTAAAAGAGTAGAAAGGTTTATTTAAATTCAGTTTGATTGAAGACTGTCTTAAAGTTTAGAAAGTTGAGCAACATACTTCCTTTTAACAGTTAACTTAGATTTACATAGAAATTTGGAAAAGAATGTAATATAAACCTCTCAACTAGTACTCTCTTAAGCACCACCGGAAAAATCATTATCTTTCCCAGTTCTTTCAATTTCTGTCATAAGAAGAACAGAGAGCAGAACTATATATTTTGGTAATTAATTTCCTTAAGATAATGTTAGAAATATCATGTTCTTTAAAATATAAATGAATTTCAAGGTGAGCATGCTAGAGGGTAATATTAATGGCATATGATTTATTGTGACAAGAGATCTGATCTGAAACACCATTATTAGGAGTACTTAAAAAAATCCATTTGCAAATTCCTGAAAATATGAAAGAGCTATAACTGAACGTGCCGCAATGTTGAAATCTGGAAATCTGTCCTTGTAAGTATGAAATAGCTTGTGCACAGCAAGCTGGCATGTCTTCCTCACAGAAATTTATTTAAAATTTTTCATATTCTGAATATGTTGTATTATCGTTTAGGGAATGACCTAAAAGCTTGTAACTCTGAGTAAAGACAATACACCAAAGTACAGACTGAAATGTAGATGGATAATTAACTTGGTAATATATGTAATTTTAGGGCTGACTGTTATCTTAAAATTAACAGCTGACAATGATACATTGAACATCTACTACGTTCCTGGCATTCCTAGAACTCACAATAGAAACATGTGACCTGTGTCAATCTAGAAGGTGTTTTCTATGTTATTACTGTTCCAAATGAGATAATCCCTTTAAACTATAAACAAGATTTACCTGTGACCTAAATTTACAAATAGGTTTCAGTAAGATGCACTTTCACATCGAATAAAACATAGTGCGGTATATGAACACGCTGCATATGGCATCTATTGGGCAATGAGGAATGTTGTAAATTAGTATTGCAATTGATAATAAAATTTGAGTAGATATATGTGATTAATAGGAGCCTTTACTAGTGAAAAGAATTAAAATTATTCTGGAGAACAGAATTCATTAGCCTCTGACACCTGAGGGAGGATCATAAATACTGGCATTCTTACATATAGACTGTCCGATCTGAGTCTCACATAAACATGCAGATACTCCTCCTCTATACTTTTAATTCCCCTTTCTCCTCCTCCCTTCTGCATGTCTCCCTCTTCCTGTTCTCTGGTTTTCTCCCCTCCCTCCCTCTGTCCTCCTGTCTCTCTCCTCTGCTGAATAAGCTTGGAACACAACTTTCCCCCCCTTGAACTTTTTTCTCTCTGTACATTTCTTAAAGTCTTCATCGGGCTTTAAAATTGTGGGATTCCTGAAGGAGTACATTTTTTGGTTTGAAATCTATTTTTAATATGTGAATATCAACACATGAATGCTTCATAGAATGGCATTGGGATAAGCATAGCTGATTACATAATACGGTTCTAGGTACATTAATAAACATGTTCATTTCCAGGACATTCAAGGTGGATCATCAAGTGGTGAAATATACTATAAAGTGAATATATTGTCATTATTATTTCAATTTATTTTCACCTCATGAAATTATATTGGATCTTATACAATGAAAGTATCTCTTTAATCTAGATACAAAGAAAACTTACAGGTGCAACATTTTAATGAGATTATGTTTGACTTAATTTTGTAATATACATTGTACAAAATTCAAATTCAATAAAAATTCAGTATCCATCCCAACCACTTGGTTTCCTTCTCCAGAAGGAATCACAGTTAAAAGATTTTTGTGAATCCTTCTAAAGATATTATGTGCATGTATATTCACATATATACTTTTTCCATTTTCTTTAAGACAAAAATTATAGCTGCCTGAACTATGAAAGAAAAAAGCAAAGCATAACATCATGATCTATCATTTGCAGGGTAAGAAAGATCTCAAGGCAATACCTAAGGTACGGTTGAGAAATAAGTTGTCAAATGTTTTGCTAAAACATTTAAATGGATCAATATAATAAAAAATGAGACAGGATCTCACTAATCATGAAACTATTTAACATGATGGTTCTTGTGTAAAATAGTATGCTAAAGAGTCTAGAGTTGAGAAAAATCTAAAAGAGTTTTGAAAACACATTTTAACAGCATTTTGAAACTACATGGAAGAAAATCATGTCTATGTACGAGTATATGACAAAATGGAAATAAACAGAAGAACTTCCAGGAGTGGCTGTCTTACAAGTTGGTCTGTAACATTCAGAGCACCAAGTTAACCAAGCCAAACAAAAGGCTACTGGGACTTTGGCTTTGAATACTAATATATAAATTACTTAAATATAGGTACAGACATGTTGATTATGATTTCATAACTTTGTGAAGTGAACAGACTAGAAATGGGTATAAGTGAAGCCAAAAACGATGATTCACTTCTTTTGCCCCATTTTTTTCAGGGGAGTGGGGTGAATATAGCCGTACTTTCTTCAAGAAATGCGGAAGACAACAAAGCAGAGCTTTCTTTATTTCCCTGAATATCAGAAGGTGTCAATGTCTGCATTCCAGAACAAGCAATGCCTGCATATTGCTATCATGGTAAAAGTAAATCTGGCCATCAAAGCGGTTCACCTTTAAGGAGTATTTAACGGTAGTTTCTGTCAGCCCTGGTATTTCTCTGGCTTATTTTCCATTAAGTTGAGGCCAATGCAGGACTGACAGTGCGAAGATCAGAGGCCTTCTCTGATACCTACGCAATGTGCAGTTACTCAGCATGAGCAAATCAGAGCCCCGTGCTTTTCCTCTTGGGAGTTAGGGTGATCACTCCTTACACACTTAGCTAGGCAGAGACTTCCAGATTATCTTCACACAATGTTATTTTCACCTTACACTTGAAATCCTTCTTCTCAGCATGTAAGAATGGGCTTACAGATGATCACACTGTATTCCCATTATAACCACATTAAAAGTTAACAGGAAAAACTGACTTCACTTACACTTGTATCTTAATACTTACACACACACCAAACCTTATTCAGTCATTGTATGTAAAACGCTTTATACCACGTAGTGATCCTTTTTCTGTTTTTTCATGACATGATTCATCAACCACAATCATCACTATGGTACGTCTTTTGTTATCTTACCTACTGTTGAATTTCTCTGGGTGTTTTTCTCTCATGATGTGGAATCTGTGGGCAATGGAGGCATCCTAAGAGAGAAACAGAAAAGAAAAATGGGACAGGTTACTATCCTATTATCTTGCGGGAATAAAGATTAAAATAGAAAAAAATTGATAAATAACATTTTAAAGCTAACTTTTCCTGAACAGTATCATTGCCAAGAAGGTGTTCTAAAATTAGGGAAAAATGTGTAATCCATGTAAATTCTGTGCAAGTGTAATTTAGTCACCAATGGTTGCTTCTCATAGTTACTTCTAAGAATTGATTTCTATTTAATTTATTGATCTCCTTTCATAATTGCTTCTGGCCTCATGCTTAAAATATGTTTAAGATAGTTCATATAAACAAAAATGTCAAAAAGTCGTTGAAAAATCTGTAACGCAAGAGCTAGGATAGCTTAAGTAGAGAAATAATCAGGTAGAGAAACTCCTAGTCCTCTGAGATTAGTTATGGGTTAAAAGATAATGTGAGACTGCATATCTAGTAAAGGTAAGTATGACACATGACTTTAAAGTTTGCTAAGGGTATGCTGGATCTGTAATTATTAGCTGTTCATTCTGCAAGCAACTTCTGACATATCTTGCTTAATGGAGAAAAGCCACAAAGAGAAAAATGTATTTTGGGATAGCTGGTGACAAATGTAACTAGGTTCTGAGACCCCAAATGCACCAGTTATGAACCCTAATGGATGTTTCTTCCTTGTAGGACATTCATTCAGAGTTTCTATGAGACAGAATCATACAATGTGTGCAATTGGTGGAATATTTCAAGCACAGACTGTTCTTGCTGCTGACTTTTTAACAGTTGCCCCTGCTATTCCAAGCAACGAGATATTTTCCTATTCTTCATCTACACGTGATTAATCGCTCCAATGAGAAACTAATATATTTACCAGTTGTCTCAATAGAAATGGGGCTATTGTTGCGATTAACTGTTAATTTTGATTCATAGTGGAGATGAAAGAAAAAGAAAAACCGAGTACAAAGGAAATAAAGAAGTTGTGTATTTGAGAGAATCCTGAAAACACTAATCAAGGATTAAAAGTCTAATGAATGAAATGAAAAGGCTAATGTGCTTACTCATGCATAACAAAGCATGAGGCACAACAAGAGAGGGACCAATGCCCGCTGCAGATGGCAGACAGAGAGCTGCTTTTCCATGCAAGATAGAGCTGGGATAGAACTGAAACTGTTTCTGTACAGTCTTATCCTCTAAAAATTGTTCAGTAATTGAATTAATCCACAAGTGAAAAGGACACAAAGATACAGATAGGTGCGTTTTGAAACAATACTTAATAAAAAAGTTATAAAAAATTCTATGTTTTCATATTCTAAGATAATAATTTTGTTATATCTTAGAAATTGACATATACATGGTCAGTTTCCTGGCTTGCTAATAAGAATATCAAGATGTTCATTTTTATTGGTCCAATAGCTCTCAAAGCCAGGCACAGAGTTTCTTCTTTTTTAAAAAATCCTAATATGTCATAAATAAACTTATATATTTTTTGAATGTGAAGTTGTCTTACTGTGGCATGAAATTACAGAAAAAAACCTGAGTTTGCCCATTTATGATATATTATGTGGCATTATCAGTAATTAATTTTAAAAAATCATTTATTTTGACTTTATCTCTAATCTGATTCAAAATCAGTTTGGAATGCCTTGAAATTAAATGCATACATGCAACAGACCAAGTAAACAAAAGCAAAGAAATATGAATTAAGTACTAAGAATGAATGATCAACATCAGTCACCACAGGGAGATTATCACTGAATTTATCTCAACTTAAACTGTTTGTTTCTGCTAAGTTAGAGAAGTGAGACTTTAAAAGTAGATTGTGTAGTATAATCTGCTTTACAAGAATATATGTTTGCAATAACAGATCTCTTTCTTTGCAAAGCAACATAAATAGGATAGAGAGAGGCAGAGAGGAAAGGAGAAAAGAGGAGAGGAGACAGAGTATCAAAAGAAGACCATTTAAGGAGACTGGACTGTAACTGAGGAGATTCCTAGGAACACAGAACACCAAATTGCCAAAGCTAAACTTAATGCTAGCTCCTCTGTCTCCAACCTACTCAGGCAATGAATCACGTAGGAAAAAGTGTGTGTGTGTGTGGTGGGGGGGAACAGTGAGGGACACTGGCATGCCTTTTCCTTGTGTTGAATGGGTTCCACCACAAAGAGAGCTGGCATTGCTGACCACAGGATGGATGAGGAACAATGACAGCAGGTGTTCATTTGGATGAAAATTCACACCAAATTCCTATGGGACCCTCTGGTGTAACCCCAAGAGGCTTGAAAGGGAACTGTCAAACCCTGCTAACTTACCCAGCAACCATATTTCAGGAACACTTAAGGTTCTCTAAAAAGGGACCAAATAAGGAAAAGCTAAAATAATGTTAGTTTTTTATATAAAAGTTTGCTGTTTCCTTCTCTATATATTGAAATTTTTAGGGAACAGAAATTAAATCAGCATCAATGTCACACCCTAGAATGGACAAACTTTGAATCCAGACAGACTTCCACTTCCAAGACTTGTGACTTTGAACAAATTACTTATTAACCATGAGTCACAGCCCCCTTATCTTTAAAAGAGGACACTGATACCCCTCTATAGTAGTGTGGTGCAGACTTACTGAGATTATTGCAGAGAGCCACTGTCATAGTGCTCTGTATGGCTGGGTTATTCATATATCTTATGTCCATACTAGAACATTACTCCAGGTAAGCAGGGGGTGCTAAAACATGGGTGAACTGTATCATTTTGAAAAGATGTAATTTACTGACTCTCAATTTGGTGTTACTTCCTGAATTTATAAAATAGTTTTATTTTAAATTAATTAAAAAATAAAATCAGACCTAAGAAATAAAAATAAAACATATCCATCTTCATTAAAACAAAATATATTTAAATATCATTTATGTTGATCTTTAAAGCAGTAATAAGTAAGTAGAGGGGTTTATATAGTAATTTATATAGTAGAGTGTATATACATGTATCAAGACACATATACATCAACATATACACATGCACTTACGTTAGAGAATCAGCTTCTTAGTTTTCTCTGTAATACTCTGCACTGGTATTTTTCTGAAGACTAATTTTTTTCCTTTTTCTGTGAGGGCTTTTTTAAAATTTTTAATAGTTACTGTAAATCCCCAAAGTTGCATTCTAAGTTATTAATTTGAAAAGCTTAATTATTTTATGTAGAATGTAACATTCTTAATTGAGAAAATGTAAGTACTGAGATACTCGAGCCTGTATGTAGCAAATTCTACCAGAGGAGGATGTATCAATACTGATCCTTTTCTTAAAGTGTAAAATGCATTTGCCCAAATATTGTCCTAGGTACTACCTTTTAAAATCTAAAGAAACGTTCTCTGACAAATATTTTTACATAACTAGTCAAATAATGTTTTTATTTCTGAAAACTGTATTATTATTTTTATTATTATACCAAATTCATGATTGTCTCAATTTCATTCCACTTTGGGACAGAATATAAATCTAGCCAAATATAAATGAGTATTTTTATAAAGAGTTATTCCAAAATGCAACTACGGAATTGTAAATTAAACTTTGTATACTAGATGAATTTTCATTGAGATTTCTTGAAACAGTTCAATTCATTCTTCATTATAGATGAATAGATCACAGTGTCTTTTTTATGCGTGAGCTTTCTTTTTCCTTTAATAATTGCAAATTTGTTAAAGAGTTTTAAAAGCTGAAGTTCGTGGCACTTCATTTGTTGAATATTTTTAAAGATTTCCAATTGAAATCTTCTGAGGTTTTATTTCCATAAAATAAAATTCACCAATTTTAAGTGCATAATTAAATGTTAAATTTTAAGTGCACAATTAAAGAATAAGCTACAGAGCACACTTCCTAAAATTATCCTAATGCTTTCACAGTCATGATATGGAAAGTTTCCACTGAAAGCGTGTGTATGTATAGTCCCTCCTCTACACTTAAAAATCATTGATTTACTTTCCACCACTATAGTTTGCCTTTTCTAAAATTTCCTATAAGTGGCATTTAAAAGTACTCTCTTATGCATGGCTTCTTTCACTTACTACAGTGCTTCTGAGATGCAGCCATGTGTTTCAGGATCAGTGATTTGTCCCTTTTTATTGCCAAGTAGTATTCTATTAAACAGATATACTCCATTTTGTTTATTAATGAGTTAATGACATTTGAGTTTTATGCAGAAAGCTGCTATGAAATTTTGAGCACAATTCTTTTTGTGGACATGTGTGATTAAAACTTTAAAGTGAATATGAGTGAGGCTGCTGAGTTTTATGGTATGTGTATATTTAACTTTTAAGGAAACTGCCACACTATTTTTCAAAGTACTTGCACCGTTTTGCATTCCGACTAGTAACGGATGAGAGTTCTATGACTCTACATCCACACCAGCTCTTGACAGCCTTTTAAATTTCACCATTCTAGTAAATACGCCATGGTTTACTTTCTTGGAGCCGTAACCCCTATGACCCAGCACCATCTGCTTTAGCCGAGGGGGTCTGCCAATTCTGATGACACTATAGGATTTGAAAGTTCTGGTGCAGACTTAATGGATGTTCCCAGCTCTGTCCCAGTTCATTCATCTTCACAGTCTTTTTCCTGTTTTATTCACCTCCATATCACAAATAGCCTGGGAAAGACCAAGCACTCAAATTTTGATGGACTTAATTAAAGGACAAATGAGTAAAATTATATGTTTTATAACCACCAGATACTGACTGAAAATCTGTAGAGCAGAGGCGTTAAGAACTTGGACTCTGGAGTGAAACTGCCTGGGTGGGAGAGCTGGCTCTAAAATTAACCAAGTCTTTGACCTTGAAAAGTCTCCTCAGGCTTTCAGTGTTCTCATCTCCTATCTTTAGAACAGGAATGATTCTAACAGCACCTGCTTTGTTATGAAGATGTGAAGTTCCAGTACCTGGAGGATAGCTAAAACAGTGTCTGGCATGCATAGAGGAAGCAAATAAATGTTAGCTCTTATTATTACTGAAACATATTTAT